TTGCTTGCTTGCTTGCTTGCTTGGTGTTCTCTCCCTCTCTCTAGCATAGCTGAGCTGTGGATGTCAGTGGTTTGGGACCAGGGGCTTCGTGCATAGGGCAGTGGAGGGCTAAGGACTCGAGGGCGACACGGCGCGGAGTCGGGAATACTAAGGAACCTCAAGAGGCATCTTCGAAGATAGACCTTGTCCTAGCTCCTAACAGTAAAGGCTTGCTAAACCCTAAGCCCTGGACCCTGAACCTCGAGCCCTCGGGCCCTAACCGGCACCTGGCCGCAAGTTCAAGGCATCTCCTGCACTCAGGCCAGCTGCCGCTAAGTCTCTTGGCTCCGGGTTTCGGGATGTCGGGTTTTGGAATCATTTCATTTTTGGGTGTTGGAATCCCTGTTTGGGGGTTTATGCGCCTGTTACATCGGGCGCTGAAATCTCCATCTTCGAATACACCGTGAATAAGACAACCCGCTGTACGAGCGAGGTGAGGACCGTGTTGCTGTAATTGGGCTGCAGGAATCGGCAGTGTAGGAAGTCAGTAGGTTGATGGGCTTTCGTGGTTTCGGCCGGGGTGCGACATAGCAGGTAAAGACTCATCAGTATTGCTTCACGAGATTTCACGAGTTGCCAGAATTCGAAAATGTACTGTCTTCCCAGAGCTCATACATAATTATGTAGACACTCAGGGAATCAGATTCCCAGTCTTGCGACAGTTCAGCAGAAACGCCTGCTGTGGTCACTGGGGGAGAGTGCACGTGATCAACGGGCGTTTGCCAGTCTCGAGCTCAAAAGTGCGTCCGAACCCAGGGTGTGCAGGGCTGGTTGGTGGGTCTCAGGCTTGCCGAAGCACTTACTCGCCCAGTCATGGGCTTCAGGCAGTAAGTGTACAGGGTTATTCTGGTCGTGTGGCTTATGGGTTCGGCCTCAAGAGCTTCAGGTTTAAGTAGGGGGACAGGGGTCTGTACTTTAGAGTTGCAGGTTGGATGCACTTCAGGCCTTGCGTTTCTCTAGGCTCTCTGATTTTGGAGTTCTTGCTTTTGCTTCGTGCTTCGGGGACCGCAGCTACTTGCCAGGTTCCCGGAAGTCATCTCATTCTGACAACAGATAATTATACCTAACCATGGCCTGAACTCTGCGGTGCTCGTTGCAACCCGCATCTTTCCTATCTCAGCTCTGAAGCAGGCATCACATGCATCTGCCGGGTGTCGCACTGGCCAACTCCTGGATGACCTTCCGTCGAGCGTCAAGGGCTCACGATGCAGGGCATCGCCCAACATGCGGAACATTCAACACGATGTAAGAGAGGAATTGGCCCGCCATGCTCTTCGGACAACTCCGCAGGCTGGCTGCTGTTGATCAGGCCCCAATCCGAACCAACACCCCCAAGCAGAAACCCTGAAAAACTCGACGGCTTCTCTTTCAAGGCACCGAAAACGCCCAGACACTCTTCCAAACACTTGTCGGAAAACGAGATCTCCACGATTGGAGGCCCCCTAAATTCCGAAAAGCGGCCTCTGGCGAGAGCAGGGCCTCAGCCGAAGCAGGGTTTCCGTCAAGAGGCTTCTTTTCAAATCGTCCCAGGCTAGATTAGAATCGAGGTGTACATTGAAACCATATACCAGCCTGTGCTACTAGTAATTTCAGGGTTTGAGGTTTTAGCCGGTTGCGGTGCTCAGACTTGGACTGAACAAGCACTACAGGTGCAGCATGCTTGATGATCGCTGGAGGGTTCATTAGGTGTTCCGGGATCGGGTTGGTTTAGGCGGTTAGAAGGGTTTTCTCGTGAGGGCTTTAGTATATTAATGGTGTCGAGGGCAGACCGAGGGCTGGAAGGCTTGGGAGTTTAAGGCCGTATGGCTCTCAGAATAATAAGCTTTTGCAGATGCCTGCGGGTTGGAGCAGGTCTAAACTCAGAAAGACAAGAAAACTGTCAAATACCCAGTAAGATTTAGCAGAGTGCAGCACAAGGATGGTGCGTTTCTTAAGTTCAGGGCGCTCGAATGGTTACTTGAGCATCAGCGTGTTTCTCATCAAGAGACTCGGAAGCCTAATCTTGACGGATCCAAACATGTACCGTGAAGCTCGCATCCCGAAATCTCTAGCCGCAATTAAACCAAGAAAACTCGAGCCCTCAACCCCCTACCTCCCTCGACCCTAAGCTTCAGAGACCGAAACCAACTCGAGGGCCGAACGGCGACATTCAGGGGGTCCATAGCGCCTCCAGCCTGTGCGGTTAAGGGTTAAGGTCGGGATCTCAGGGTGCCATCCTGAAGTTGTTGCAATCCGCTCTTGCCTGCAGATGCCGAAAAGCTATTGCAGCGACAACATGGCAGTAATGGAAAACATGTAGTACATTGTTCAAGGTTTAGAGTTTCAGGTTTCAAATCGGGCTTCGGGGTTGAGGGTTCTAGGATTGAGAAATTTTCAATTTTCGGGTTCGGGGCTCTGGTGACCAAGGGCTCGAGGGTTTTAGGTTGATTTCTACCGGGGTTTCGAGGCTAAGAAGGCTCCTGGCTGCTGAATAGCTCAGCCGTTGGGGTGTAGCCGTGGCTAAGGGCCTGACAGTTTTCCCGGTTCAGAATCATGTGGCGGTCATTCTCTCTCTGCGGGAACACGGAAGGTACTGACCTTTAGAACCTATGCCTCTGCTTCATAAGATAGTGAAGCTACTTATAGATCATGAAGCAAAGCGTCCAAGACCCAGAGCTGGGTCAAGGATTTTTGCGGATGTGCTAGGGCCCTTACAGACACAGAACTCGGGATTGAGCAGAGTAGAGAGCCTACAGGGTTGAAGTTGTTGCCGATGCACACCCGGCAGTGTGTAAAGGCTGGATAACAAGAGACTAGGACTCGCTGTCCCCAACGCTTACAAGGTTTGGAGCTTTCTCTCTCTCTCTCTCTCTCTCTCTCTCGCTGCCGATCGCCGAACTGGAACAGCCGTGCCTTCTCGGCTGTTTTCGGCTCTCGGCTGCTGAGGGAGGGCGCTTGACCGCTGTGCGTGGGGATGAGTGACAAATAGCCCAAGTGCTTACCCTCAAAGCGGGACCGAGTCGGTCTTGTAGACTCGCCTCCGAAAACTAGAGCGAAGACAACCGGAAACCCATTGCCATTAGCCCCACACCTGAAAAACGTCGAAACCCTCAAGCTTGTCTCACACCGAAACCCCTTCTGGAAGCTTACGACTCAAGCCTTGCTAGGCTCAGGGCTTCGGGGGCTCTTGTCATGTTTCAGAGCTGGAGCCATCAGCCAGATACAGCATGAAACCGAACCTCAGATATACAGATATACATGCAGTATACCTGCATCTGCACCAGAGGAGATCAACCCGAACATACATGTGCATGTGCTAGCATGTAGTTCGAGTACGTACGCCTCGGTTGGCACCATAGTACTTATCTATTCAATCGGTATGCATGTTTATGTAAACGCAGAGCCGGAGAGAGAGGCAGACAGACAGCCGGCCGGCCAGACTGACTGACAAACAAGCAGACACAGAGACAGGCAAAGAGAGGCTTTCAAGCGAGAAGAGCGCATTAGTATGGCGTAGACGGCTTCAGCGTTGCAAAAGGTTGTGCAAAAGCTTCACATCTCTCATCTGCAGCTTCGCACTGCAACGCTTGCCCAACGCACACAGAACAAATGCGGGGCCATCTGATACCCGGCGTGTTGTAAACTTGCATGCGGGGCCGTAAAACCAAAACCCACCAATAACAACCGCAGACTTACTGCCTGTGCTCTGTCAGAGAGGCCCCCGAATACAGCGGAAAAGCCCGAGCAACTCTGGCTCCCACATCACTTCCCCGATGCTAGGACCCCGCCGTTTTCTTCATGCCCTGGCCCAGCGCACTCCGGGTCGGGCAAGAAGCAGCATGATTCCGCCGCTGGCAGCAGCTTAGAAACAACGATGGCCTTTCTTGCACTGCTGGCAGTCCAGAGCACACCCTGCAGTGGCGCAGACTCTGCCTCTGTTGCGGTCGTATCTACGATCGATTTACCAGCGCAGCGTGGCAATAGCACGAACACTACAGACCACAAATACTTGTGATATAGGTCATAGTCGTACGTAACAATAAAGATATTTCAATAAAAATTCTAATACAGCTAACTAACACACAACCACTCTCCCTCCGGAGTAGTTGTGGGCGATGCCGGATTCTAGATTCTAGCTGTTCTTTGGCATCCGAGAGAAGCCGAAGTCCGAAGCTGGCAAGCCCAAACTCGAACAGGCACGCTAAGGAAGGCGAAGTGTCGTCTAGACCTGCTGCATCAAGTGTGCTTGAGTTGCGAAAAAACGAAACGAACATATCCATCACACCTTGTCCAGCCCAACTCATGCAAACACCAAACCAAGCCACCCCTAAAGCTTTGTCTACTTTTAAGACCTGTAGGCAATGCGACAACCCAGGTAAGGCGATCACAAGCAGATGCCCGCCTGAGGCGCCACTGCGGCGAGAGGAACGTTGAGGCTGCTGAGGTCATTTTTCATGGTTCCGACTCGTCCGCTCGAGCCCTGTTTTGTCCTTCCGGTCAGTCGTCGCAGCGCACGACAGCTTTTAGTGCTAAGATTTTGCTTCTGATTCTGCTGCTCGCATTGTGAAATTTGTACCACCATCACCGCGAAAGCCACGGCACGCGGGCGGTGGCCACCACCGCTGCCAGGCTTATCTGGAGGATTCGTGATTACTGACGCAGCCCTTTCAGCATGGGCGGAAAACTTCCTTGGAGGTACCGAGTTGGTAAGGGTTTTGTATGAGATAGATCCCCCAAAAGCAGCTTGCGTGAGAACGCCCGAGTTGGTTGAATTGCGATGGCTGTTAGTGGCAGGGAGGGGTTCTGGGGGTAATGGCAAAGATAGGGATTCCGGGTCTAGGAAACTTCTGTGCAGTGGGTCTCGCAAGTTTGTGTATGAAACTCTGCCCCAGATTCGGAGGCCCAGAAGTTTACGTGCGGAAAACGCTGAATGACCTCAGAGCTCAAGCAATCAACCGCCTTGGGGCAAGCACCGTCGGCTTCGCGACTGGAGGCTTATTATTCGGAGGTTTAGGGCTTACAGGTTTTGGAGGTATGTTTTGGCCTTAATCTGCCAGCTTCCCTTCCCAAAAGCTCAACAAACCCGTCTTCCTGGGCCTTCCACCTCCGAAATCATGAGACACACCTGGAATCCGAAAATCTCGAACCTCTAACACCCTCAAGATGCCGAAGCCCTCTCCCGGAACCATGGACACCCTAAACCACCTCGTCCAAGTTGACGAAATCTCGTTCTCTCTCACTCTCTCTGTCTTCTTGGCTTGCTTGGTAGGGGTATGGGGCATAGGACTACCCACTCGGTCCTCAAGCGTCAGTGTCCAAGCTTGGCCGCTTCAGGGGGGTTTGTGCGGGCTTTCTCCCAAATGAGCATGTGCATCCCTGCTAACCACTGACCGCTAAGAAACACCAAGTCCGGCGTCTCTGTCTCTCTCTCTCACTCTAACAAGCCCCGTGGCTTCTTGCTTGTTGTCCGCAGGTCCGTAATGGTTCACGGCTTTGGGCGGTGGACGTCCGACGGGATGCAGTCCGGCATATCTAAACTAAGCTGGCCGGTGCTCGCAGAGGCATGAGGAACTTAAACATTGGAACGGCGCAGAGCACCCTTTCCAGGGAAGCTGAAGGCACCCATGCACATGATGGCAAGGTTGGTAGTCTGCACAGCTTTGGCAGGAACAAGAGCAAGTCGCACAGTAAACGAGACAGTGCTTCTTTCGGGCGTCCTGCGCAAGCCCCGTCAATATGCATGAGGAATGGTGAAGCGGTCTCAAAGCTTTTAAGTCTTGCAGTTTGGGGCGGCACGCTTCTGCTTCAGGGTCTAAAGCAAGGGGTTCCAGTCAACAAAGACTTCGAAGAGTATCTTCAGAATGAAATAAAGCCACAGACCACGCTGCGACTCTTTGGTTACGGCCTGCGAGGCCTTCTTTCCTTCTCAGACATTCGTACATTGATTACATTGGTGAGAAAGGCTCGAGTAAGCTGAGGTGCTACATGAAGCCAATGAGGCTGGAAGGAAAAGCGTCATTGGAGGACTTTGGCCCCGTGGCTGCAACTGGGAGCTTTGAACCACGGGATTCAGGGTTCAATGCTTTATCAGCCCACCATCCCATGCCATACCTACCCCCTATACCACGCCAGCTTCTGCTTGGCGGAGAAGCTACCGGCTGTACAGGTGTCCGACAATACGTTCGTTCCTCGGACTCCTTCCCACGACAGGAGTGTCCGTATGAAAACCTGTGCTGCGGCCCTGTTGCGGGCCTCCGACCTCAGGCCACAGGGACGAAGGCGGGCTGGTAGTTACCATGACCAAAAACTATACGGCTACAATATCGAGGTTCACGGACAGCTTTAAAAAACTATTATGGCTGACCACAGTTAGCCACTTAGATGTACCCTTCGCTGGTGCACAAAGCACCGTCAATTCGACTATAGGACCTCAGAGACCATTTGCAACGATGGGCCAACCCCACACGGTAGAAGCTTAGCGAGGACACCCTGGAATTACTAAGGCATCTAAGATATTTTCATGCGGCGGTAACAAAGCTTCAAGATATCCTGAAAAGATGCATTCAACAATCTTCTCCGGGGTAGTGGCAATACATGGCCATACCGTCCATCCCGACAGCTCATCTGTCTGCTGGCTGGGACTGGCTTGTGGATACCCCTGTGAGTGTGGCAGCTGGGACTCTCAGCAGAATGGAACTGCGACTGTCCACAGGCAACTGTCTAAACCACGACCCCAAAGCCAGTTCTGGGCTGAGTTTTTGTAACATGGCACAGGGATGATTCGCATCCAAGCCGAGCGCCAGGCCAAGATCAAAATCAGGAAGATTTTTGGGAGAGGGCCTTCTTCAACAGCGCGATGAAGCGGATGTTCTGCAGCTTCTCGCCCCGAAGGACCTCGTGGCAGCTTCTCGAAAATTTTTGGAGCCCCAAAGGCTCCTCTCTAGACGCCTGGATGCGTGCTGAAGTGCGTCAAGCTAGCATGCCAGATTCTGTTCTTGACAAAACCGCCGACCTCATAGAATGCGAAGTGTTGTGACAAGTTTCAATCCAGTGTCGTACTTAATTCGAAGGACTGTGGTCGGCTTTGACTGCCAGTGGCATCAAAATAACTGGTGCTGATGCATATTATTGTGAATGTTATTGGCGAATCCTGTGTATTGAAACTATTACATGACTGGTGACCAAACCCCAGCCTTCCTTGAAAACTTGTCATGGAAGTGCCGATGCATACGGCAACATGCATCGCAGACCCAGACCCAAAATCTGCCTGTGTTGAACTGTTTTGTCTTGGGACTTCTGGTTCCGAGAGATGGCGGGATGTGGAGAAGGCAAACCAATGGGCCAGATTCCCTGACCCCCATCCAAAGATTCCTGCCGTAAGGCAGAGGCAAGTAGTGAGAGCAAGAATATTAGACGTCCCTTCTGTAGGTCTGCCCTTAGAAGAATCCCATTAGTTCGGCGCCTATCTTATGGTCCCCCAAATAACTTCTGCAAATCCATTTGGCGCGGCCGGGCTGCAGCTAATCGCTCTTTCCAGTGCGATTCCTCGGTGCGGCACGAGTCCGACTGCACCAGGCACACCCAAAGCCCCGAGTTCTAGGCGCCTGCTGAAAAACCAAAGCCAAAAACTCTGACAGGCTGGAAGCTTCATCCTTCGAAGCCTGTCACATCAACAGATAAACGCCGAGGCTCCTTTACTCGGGACTCTTCGAAAAGAGATCTTCCCAAAGATTGAACCCAAAAAAAACACCTCAAGGTGCCGAATCCTGACGTCTGCGCTCTAAACATTCAACACCTACACGTGATCCCTCCGCTCGCCAATCCTGGCCGCCCCAACTTTGACGCCGAAACACCCCCTGACAAATATGATCATGGTGATACCAATCGTGGTAAAAGGCTGAGCTGCTTGGTAAGACCAATACTGCGAATAAAACCATTGTAGCACAACAAACACCACAAAACGGTCATATGGTACAAGAGTAAAAGTTTACACCTAATGGTTCACATGAATGTTCATAGTACTATCATCTAACATGGCTATAACCTCCATTCGCAAGAATGAAACTCTCGCCCCTGAACCGCTAAGCCGGACCCTTCTCCTGACAGGGCTAACTTCTGGCACGCAAGGAGGTCTGTTGCACACATTGTGCGCTTAGCTTTGCGAGGTCTAGGGTTAGGGTTATCAGTTGAAGGTTTACGGCTTCTCGCTTTCAAAACACTTAAGCCCCAAAACCTTCCAACCCTTGACAGCCATGCCATCGTTGTTTGATGCATCCTGTGGCTCCCGCATAGCCCGACTAACACGATGTAAACACCGCAACAATCTATCGAAGCATGGCCTGAAACCTACACGCAAACCCACTAGCAAGAATCCTGTCGACGATCCCAGAAAGAGCCTAATCTAACCCCTTCTAAACCGTTAGAACCAAAGAGCCACACACTTTTGAGCAGGGACTGCAATGCACTAAGAAACCCTTAAACCCCAAAGCGATAAATAATTTAAACCCTAAAGAGGCCGAAAGCCCTAGTAGCCCTGTTTCCGAAATCGAGGCACGTGGTGGATGTTCGCAATCAGCTGCTCCCGGAGCCTCTTCTTTGAAAAGCAGAACACAGCTAAAGTTCCCAGAGAGGCAAACACTAGGGTCCGTTGTCATTATCGTGACTCTGCAACTGAGGGGTGCCCGGAGCCTTTCTCGTACAGCATCATAAAGGTTTCGAGCATAAGGAAAGGCACTGGACATGATGCTTCGATTGTTTCTCCGCTGATGGTAAAAGTAGTTGGCCATGGAGTTTTGCAAATGATGTGATCCCTTCTCAGCAGGGTTCAGAAGTTTTCGAGTTTTGGAAGACGTTCGATTCACGCGTCGCTGTTGTCTTCTGCTTCGGCTTTTTAGCCTTCACGAGTTGGTAATCCTTCAAACACAGGTCATCGTCACATCCAGCCCGCGAGGCGAAGAACCTGTCAAGCCAACAGAGCTAAGGTCAACGACGGCGGTAGTTGCTCACCCGCTGATGCCACTGTCAGATAAGTTTCCACACTTCCGGGCAAGCATATGCATTCTCGCGTGAACGATAAGAGCTCAAGGCACTAGACACCCCTCCAAGCTACAGCAGAGAAGCCCCCACAACACGCACAGGCCACAAAGCACTGAAGGTTGGAACATGTCCAGTGTCGCAAACAAGACGACTTGCAAACTACCTCTTTGGCTTTGACAGAACACCGATAACAGTGGATCAGTTTCAATGCTCGTCTTCGTAACGAACATACCCAATAAAGGATGAGCTCGAATGCTTTATCGTCCCTCTTACTCCGGGCTGTGACAAGGACTGCAGGCCCGCAACTTGCCAGTCTCCGTGGTGAACTCAAACGGCATTTCCCGAAGTTTTCCGATGATGTCCGCAGCCTACAGGAGAGGATCTCGCAGTGGTTGAGGTTCGGGTCAATTCTTGAAGTTTGGGCTTCGGTTTCAAGCCTGTCGGGATGTCTCTATAAAAGGCTCGCTGGGCTGAAATCACCCGTGACCTTCCAACCTCCCTTCACACAAATCCCGACATGTCTCTTGGCGTGCTTTCCGCGTCCATTTGAATTGGAGGTTTGGACTCAAAGCTGGCTGCCGCCGTAGCAATCGGGCACTAACTGGACTCCGGCTATCCTGAATCTTCAACCCTTGCATCTACACCTACATCCTGCACCTCAGGCCCCAAACTCATAGGATGCCTCGAACCCCGTCAACACTTGCTGTCGTGTTCAGGGGTTTACGGTTCGTTCTCTCTTTCTTTCGCCAAGGCTATGGTGAAGCGGTTTAACCACTTCCACCGCACGCTAACCACGGCAGGGAAAGCCCCAAAACGGACATAGGCACCCCCAAAGCCACTCCGCACGACGCATACAGAAAATGACAACCAGCATTCTGCTGCATCCGATCGCGGGGGTATTCCCCCGATCTCTGTGGTGAAGCGAACTGTCGCATGTTGGTACAGCTCTCAAGTGGTACTCGACTGAATGGCACAGGGCTAGTGGGGTATTCTTTGCGGTCATGCTGGACAGCAACAGGGGTAGCAAACGGCGAACAGTACTAAAAACAAAACAAAGACATACAGGTTTCAATACGCCACAGCTTCCGTCTCCTCTGAACATCTGTCCCTGACGGAAATATGCAGCAAGTAGGACCCTAATGAAAAAATCCCTGAAAGCAACCTCCCTCTTTGCATTGCTTGCCTACCGGCACTAGTGCGAGTGTATGTGCATACATACATACCTAGGTACCTACCTACCTACCTACCTACCTACCTACCTACCTACCTACACCTACTTGCCCACCTACTTGCCCACCTACTGGTACCTACCTACCTACCTACCTACCTACCTACGTACGTACATACGTACACGCATACACACACACACAAATACATACGTACATACATACATACATACATTGCGATACCTTACCTTACCTTACCTTACCTTACCTTACCTTACATTCACATAACATTACACTACATTGCATTACATTACATTACCTACCGTTACATACATACATACATACATACATACATACATACATACATGAATACATACATTACATTACACTACACTACGTTACAGAACGTTACATACCGTTACATACATCCATCCATCCATCCATCCATCCATCTATCCATCCATATATATACACATACACACATACATACATACATACATACATACATACATACATTACATTACACTACACTACGTTACAGAACGTTACATACCGTTACATCCATCCATCCATCCATCCATCCATCCATCCATCCATCCATCCATCCATCCATCCATCCATCCATCCATCCATCCATCCATCCATATATATACACATACAC